AAACTTATAAAAAAAAAGCCATTCCCTAATTGATAAACAGTTAAAGGATATGAAGAGGCAGTTTTCAGAGAGACTTATCAACCTATTTGTAGTATATGAAACAATGTTCCAAATCACTAACAGGGAAATGTAAATTAGAAACAACTCTGAGGTTCTACCCTACAACCATAAAGTTTGAAAGCTGACCAAAAAAAGGAAAAGGACAAATTCTAGAGGAGAAAGGCTGTAGAAAAAACAGGTACATTTATGTATGGAGTGAGTTGTGAATTGAATCAGCCATTTGGGAAAGCAATTTGAAATTATGCCCTCAAAATTAACAAACTGTTCATATCATTTGACCCAGCAGTGCCACTACCAGATCTATATCCTAAAATGATCACAGGAAGAAGGAAATAAATTATACATACAAAAATTTTTATAGCAGCTCTTTTTGTGGTATCAAATAATGAAACAAAGAGGGGTAACCAAATTGTGAAATGACTGAACAAATTATGGCATATAAATGTAATAGAATCCTATTATAAGAAATAATAAAGTTCACAGTTTTAGAGAAATTGGTAGGACTTGCACGAACTGATGCAAAGTGAAATGAGCTGAGTAAAGAAAACAATTTATACAATAACTTTATAAAGTCAAAATACTGTTGTTAACTTGAAAAACTAAATTAAAAAACTTAAAGAGAAGTAGAGCCACAAAAACAACTAAAAAAGACAACAATGTAAATGGAAAGAATGTTAGCCAGAAAATGATGTAAAATTATATTGTGCAATTATAAATAAGCATGGCTACCCAAAACAGATATAGGAAACGTTTCCCCTTACTCCTTTGCAGAGATGGGGGAGTAGTTCACTGGAGTGGAACAATGTACACAATGTTAGATATTTTGGGATATGTTGATGAGCTTTGCTGAAGTTTATTTACTCTCTTCCTCTTATAAAAAATCTTTGTTATAAGAGACCTCAGAGTGGAGGACAACTAAGATTTGCAAAAAATAAAGATATCAATAAAATTTATTAAAAATTTTAAAAGTTAAGTTGAATGGAAGTATGAGTTGGATGACCTTTAAGGTCTGTTAGAACTCTAAGATTCTATGATTTTTCTCCCACACTAATTCTTATGCTTCATGAGGGAATGGAGGTGACCCTGGGTACTGAAGACTGTGGCAGAAAAGCATAAGCTGTGGCAATGTTCTATTATGCTGGAAATGTTTTGAGAATAGTCTCAGAAACAGATCTTTTTTTTTCTGCCCTCTGAGGACACAATTTATTTGAGTGTGGAGAGGCTCATTCTACTTGATGACTCAGTGATGAATCCTTTGGCCATGGCAACCTATGAAACAAAAGAAACTACAAAATAACATTCAAACTTGTATGGATCCTTTTGATTCTGAAATGGCCTTGACAAAGGGGCAAGGTGTACTAAGAATCATGCTTTTAAAAATATATACAAGCATTAACTTAGCCGTTGGTATCCTACATGTGAAGTCCTTGTACAATGACCAACTAAAGGCCTTACTACCAGGAACTCATGCTCTTGCAGGGAATATCAGAAGAAAGGAAGATGCAGGTAAACTGAAGGACGGCTCAGATATTTTCTTGATTTTGTTTTTAAAAAATAACATTTTAATTTTCCCTAATCATATATAGACAATTTTAAACATTCATAAAAAAATTTTGAGTTTTAAATCTTTCCTTCTCTTCCTCATTCCCTCCCCAAGAATGGTAAGCAGTTTGAAAAAGGTTATATATGTGCAATCATGCAAAACACTTCTATATTAGTCATGTTGTGAAACAGACCAAAAGAAAAAAAAAGAACCATGAAAAAAATAAAGAGAAAAATACTATGCTTCAATCTACTTTCTGACTCCATCAGCTCCTTCTCACTCAGATATTTACTTTGGAAAGACAAATTTAAAAGAATTATGGTGTATCCAAAAGCAACAAAAAATTATTACATAGGACATTTGGTCATGTAATACTGTAGTGCTCATGACAAGTATCTGTGAAACAGTCACCATGAAAATAGTTTTAGTTTATGCCAACATATGTTACAGAGAATAAGGATCAGGAGAACTCATATGAAGAATCTGTTAAAACCCTTAAAAGTAAATTAGCATATATTTTGAGAAGATTTCAATGTAAAGGGGGGAAAAGGGGAATATTACAAAAAATCTTGTGAGATATGTGGTTCAAGGATAAGGAATAGGGGAGGTCAAAGACTTGTAGCCTAAATAGAAAGTTTCACAACTATATATTTATTTTGAATGGAATTTCTCTTTCTAGCTCTTCCTGCTGGCTTTTCTTTGTGATATATAAGGATGCTGATGATTTATGTGGGTTTAGGTCTTATCTTGTAATTCTGTTGAAATTACTTTTTCAATTATTTATTTGACTCTCTTTGGTTTTCTAAGTACATACAATCATATTATCTTCTGCTTTTCTTTTACCTATTATTATTCTCTCAATTTCTTTTTTTTTCATTGTCAAACCAACCCTGCATTTCCAGTATAAACCAAATGGGTCACAGCAAATAATCTTGCAAATGTACTACTGCAACCTACTTGCTAATATTTTATTTTTAAAATTTGTATCAATGTCCATTAGGGATTTTTGGTCTAGAGTTTTCTTTCTCTGCTTTGTTTCTCTGAGGTTTAGGTATGATAATTATATTTATATCATAGGAAAGGATTAGCAGCTAGGTGGTGCAGTGGATAGAGTGCCAGGCCTGCAGTCAGGAAGACTCATTTTCCTGAGTTCAAATCTAGCCTCAGACACTTACTAGCTGTGTAACCCTGGGCAAGTCACTTAACCCTATATGCCACAGTTTCCTCATCTGTAAAATGAGCTAGAAAAGGAAACGGCAAACAAATCCAGTATCTTTGCCAAGAAAAGCCCAAATGGGGTCAACTAAGAGTTAGATACAACCGTACAACAACAAAGGAAGGGAAGGGTGCCTTCCTTCTTTATTATTGCAAACAGTTTACATATTATGTGAATTCACTGCTTTTTGAACATTTTATAGAAATCACTTGTGAATCTATCTGGTCCTAGAACTTTTTTCTTTGGGGATTATTTTATGGCTTTTACATTTTTTCACTGATACTGGGTTATTTAATTAATCTATTTCTGATTTTGTTAATTTGTGTATTTTATATTTTTTAAGTATTAATCTATTTTAAGTTATCAGTTTTGCAAGCATATTACTGGGCAAAGAGTTTCTAATAATTTCCATGATTTCCTTTTCAACTGTTATAAGTAGTTTCTCATTTTTGATACAATTTGGTTTTCCTTTTTTTTTTTTTAAAAAGTTTCTAGTTTCATGATTTTAGCTCTTAATCATGTTAGTCTGCTTTTTAATATTCATAATTTTTACTTTCATAGGATTTTTATTATTCAAGTCTTTTTAAATTACATGCCAATCAATTTTTTCTTCTTCTGTTGATAAAAACACTGAAATACAGATTTCTTCTCAGAACAGCTTAAGTTGTAACCCATAAGTTTTAGTGTGCTGCTTTACTGTCATTTCTTTGATGAAATTTATATTATTTCTATAATTCATTCTTTGACCCTTTAATTCTCTATAATCTTATGTATCTCCAATTACTTTTAAATTCTTTCTTTTGGGGGGCTTTATTAAATACATTTTTTCTGCATTATGATTAGTAAATGATGCATTTAGTATTCCTACAAATTTCTGGTAAGGTCTTTACGTCCACATATATGGTCAATTTTTGTAAAAGTGTCATGTGCTGCTAAAAAAATATGTAAATTATTTACTAGTCTCACTCGGTAAGTATTAGAAATTATCGCAATTTCACTTACAATCTCCTGAAATATGGTATTGACTTTTTTTCTGATCACAAATTTTAGAGTCAGAAAATTGGAAAGGAGTTGTTTTTGACATTTCTTACTATGTTGTTGAGTCACTGTTTTCTGTGCTGCCCATTTTAATTTTCTGGGCATTCAGATCTTGAGTGAGATTTTCCTAAGATGTCAATATGCTTTGACCATTCTTTCCTCCCTGGAATGGTTGTTCTATTCTCAGGGCTGGTTCACTTCAGTACTGAAGAAACTCTTTGCCTTCCTGTTCACTCACACATCTCCCTACTGCAGCAGTTTTTCTTCTCTCTGGCTCTTCTAGGTTCTAGTGATTTCTGTCACCCATTCAATCCTAACCTTCCAAGAACAGTAGAACTTTAGGCCTTGGTGTCATCACTTAATATAGAAGGAGTTAGAAACACAAAATGCTAGAACTGAAATGCAAATTCCCTGAAGAAAGGAACAATTTCCTTTTTGCCTTAGTATCTTTGTTGATTATCATAGTACCTTGCACACACTAAGCGAATGTTTGTTATTTTGAAATTAATTGAAAGTGGGGGAACACTGTATTTTTTTAGGGATCACATAAGAAGGGGCAAGAGGAAGTTGTAGACATCCAGCAGGGTGCCTTCTTCTAGGGTAGAGATAAGATATGCAAGTTTGCTGTGGATATTCAGTTTGGGAGAAGAAGGAAAATGTGGTACAGGGCCTTGGAAGATAACTGTGGTGAAAATGTGGTGTAGAAATGACAAAGATGGTTGAATGTATATTGCGTATTATTCTAAAACATGTTTGAAGTCAGGTTTTCACATGATGAATTTTTTTGTTCTTCAAAGACTCCGGGCATCAGTTCTCTATCTGTGAAATGAGGGGATGGACTAGACAATCTTTAAAGTTGTTTCTAGTCCTAACACTCTCCAATTATATAGACTTTTTCTTTCTAGAATCACTAGAGACGATAGAAAAAATGGTATTGAGGTTGAACTAGATGGCCGCTGAAGTTCATTCAAGCGCTCAATCTTTGATCCTAAAAATCTAATTATTCATTCCTCAACTATGGAATGTTGGTGCATTATGTTGCCACAAAGTATTTTTTGGGTATGTCAGTTTGCATAAAATTAATAAGCTAATTGGAGCACATTTTTGTTGCCTTCAATACAATGGGGACAGAAATTTTATTACCTTGAATGTCATCATTGAATGTGCAATATTTGTTTCGGTACTTCTCCAAGAGACGGAATGCATTTGCATTGGCAAAATCCTCAAACTGAATAAGACAATTCATTCCAAACCTATGGAGATTAAAAAAAATAATAATTTAAAAAAGATATGCTAACTCTTAAAATAAACCTTTCAAATTAAATCTGTAGAATAAACAAAAATATTTTCATTGTAAATTAAGAAATTACTTGGAACAACAAAATTTGATTGATCACCCCAGTACCCAGTGTGCTACATATAGAAGTAGCAAATAGGATCAGAACTGACACAGAAGAAATCTCTACTAGAAGTGATACAATCTTCATAAGACTGATTTCAAGGTATCTCACAGAAAGAACAAGTACAAAAGAATGGAAAAGATCTTAGCAAATAAGACAAGCAAGGAGGTATCAGTAACTATCAAACCATGTCTTCTCATTGCAAAAAAACCTATGAGAAACGGCTCGTTATGTATCAAAATCACTTTTGATGCAAATGTGACTAAAGATAAGCAGGTTTCACAAATAATATTTCTTTAAAAAATTTTGATTTATTAGTGCCTTTAAAAATTTCTTTTTCTAGATATATTGCACCATACTCAACCCCTGCTGAAATGAACCCACCCTTGTAACATCAAGTCAAGTAATACCAACAATAGCAGTTACCCCAAGTAACAATATATACAGCATTTTTTTCCTCAGAGTCCCCTCCCCATTGGTTGAGAAGAGGTTCTGCTCTCCAACTTTATGCCTATGACTCTCATATCTATAAACTCCCCTCTAGTGTCTTTCTTCCTTCTAATCCTAAATCATCAACTGTTTATTTTTCATTCTGACTGGATGTCCAGTAGGCATTTCAAATGCAACATGTCTATGAAAGAATTTATCACCTTCCCCCTCAAACTCATCCTCTTCTGGGCTTCCTTATCAGACTGTAAAATATACCATCATCTTTCTAAACATCCAAGTTCAAAGCCTTTGGGTCATCCTCAATTCTTCACTGACTTTCTTACCCCACACAACCAAATCAGTAGCTAGTTCCTGTCATGTTTATCTCCATATTTTTCATATACATTCCTTCCTCTTCAATCACACTATTATTACCTTGGTTCAGGTCTACCTATCCTGTGCCTTGACTGGACAATTGCAACAGGCCCCATTTTATTCTCCGTTAACCTCAAGCCTCTCTCTTCACACAGATGAGAAAGTGATTTTCGTAATACACAAGTCTGATTGTGTCACTTCCCTACTCAATAAACCCCAGTGGATCAAATGTAGACTGTTGGGCTTTTAAATACCCGGATAATCTGGCTCTTTCTACCTTTCCAATTTTCTTACACATCACTTCCTTCCACACAACACACTACACAATCTAATCACATTGCCAACTTGGTGTTCTGCACATAGGATTTTCCATCTCCATTCTCCATGCCTAGAATGCTTTTTGCTTCTGCCTCTTACAATCCCTAGTTTCCTTCAAGAGTCACCTTAAGCACTACCTTCTACATGAAGCTTTTCAAAAATTTCTCGGATGCTTTTCCCCTCTCAAAAAACACAACAAACAAAAAAAACCCACACAACCGAAAAAACTTACTACTTATTGCTTATATAATTATATATGTAAATATTATCTGCCCTGATAGAATGTAAGCTCCCTGAGGATAGAGACTGCTTTACTTTTGTCTTTGAATCCCCCATCACAGTGCCTGACACATAAAAAAATACTTAATAAATGCCTATTGACTAATTAATCCTCCAAGACAATTTAGTGGTTCTTCAGTTACTGAGAATTCATCTTTCTTTTAGTAAGCTCTTCATTTACATTGCAGTCATACTGTTCTCATGCTTCTACTTATTTCATCCCTTGGTTTCCAGTTCTTTGTGATCACAAAAACTGCTAAGTTTTTTTTAGCTTTATATTTGATGATATTATAAGAAAAAGATACATTTAACCCTGATTTCATAAAATGAGCTGGGGGTCTAAAGAAAAATCTGAAGATAAAAATTATCTAAGTTTCAGTGTTGCAATAACCACATTTTTACATCTGAAGTAACAGTGGTACATAATTTCATCTAAATAAAATAGAGGAGACTCATCTACTAGATGACAGTATCCTGCCCAGAACACACATTTTTGATTTGGAAATATTTTGGAAAAAAAGTGGGGAAAAAAGCCATTTATTTGCTGCCTTAGAAGACTGTGTGATTGCTAGGAATATTGAAGTATTTCCTCTCTGGCCTTTCGCAATTTGCTTACCATATCTTTGCAATCTATTGCACATTCCTAAAGAATCCTATTTTGTTTTCTATGCCCTCCTTATAACAATACCTGTTTCTTCTACCACCAATATATGGAGGATGAATCAATGAGTTAACTGCTAACTGGACAAGGATTTTTAACAGCCAGACATACAAATTATGATGAAAACTAACACATATTATTTGGGCAGACGTTGGCCTTACGGGTGACGTGATAAACAAAAGCATGTCATATTTTTACACACATGTACATATGTATACTCACATCTAAGTATAAACACATGTTTAATTATTGTGAATTTGTCACTGTAGAAATTATAATTTCATAGAAACATTAAAATTAATTGAAGATAATTTGTAGCTGTAATTATAAATTACGATGCAATTATGCAGAAGTAGCAAGGTGGCACAATGGACAGGGTGCTGGGTCTGGAGTCATATAACAAATAACTTTTAAAATGCAGATGTACTTATAAGAATTATGTCAATTATTCATGCTAGCAAGCCACAATTATGTCTAAGACTTTAAAAATCTATAATTTATTATCTGAGAAATTCCAGTAAGCCTTAGAATGGATGGGAGTTCATAAGAAGTATTAAGACAGTGTAAATTTGTTTAATATTAACATTTATTTTGGAAATAATGAGGATTAAGAAGATATTTGAGCTAGTTAGCTTAATCCTCAGGTCTAATATGAAATGGAATAGTTCATTCTTTCCCTAATTGTTTTTGTTTTATATCCTCTATTAAATTTTGTCACCTTTCTTAATACTTTTTATTTGAATTCTCCCTTTAATTCTTAACAACTTAGCAGCAATTAGTTGCAACCTCCAATATACTCTTGACAGGGTATCCATTATAATTCATAAGTCTGAGCAAACCAGACTAAAGTTAAACAAAAAACCTGATAAAGTAGAACTGGTGTAACTATGACATTTTAATTAGGAGATTGCTAACACCACCATGTATGATAGCCAAAACTAAGTACTATATTTTCATACTAGTATTCAAATCACTTGAACAATGCTTTAACTTTTTTTAAAAAATAGTATCAGTAGTCAAATTCCATACAATAAAATTAAACAAACACTATGGAATGTTTATCCTTTATAATAGTCCATATTTTGGCTAGGGTAGATATAAACAGCTAGCAACATTGCTAGGATATATTTGGGGAGTTTAAACAGCTAGCAACATTGCTAGGATATATTTGGGGAGTTTTACAACTGCTATTAAATATTTTTAGGAATTATCTCTAACGCATTATTGAACAATATAGTACATTGATTAAAACACACTGGGATGAGTCATGGGAACAGAGTGGCATGTTAGGACCTACAGAAGGCTGGATCCCCCCCAAAAAAACACTCAGTAGAGTATTAAAAATGTAAGAAGGAAGAACGAAAAAGAAAATCAAAGACAAACAGCGATAACCTCTTCTATTCACTCTAATACTGTAATGAATAATACACACACACAACTTAAAATAATAATAACAGCTAACGTTTATTTAGTGCTTACCATATAATAGGCAGCTGGAGGTGCAGGGAAAATAGCACACCAGGCCTGGAATCAGGAAGACCTGAGTTCAAATTTGGCTACAGATACTTACTAGCTGTGTGACTCTGGGCAAGTCGCTTAACCCTATTTGCCTCAGTTTTCTCATCTGTAAAATGAGCTAGAAAAGGATATGGCAAACCACTCCAGTATGTTTGCCATGAAAACCCCAAATGGGGTCACAAAGAGTAGGACACAACAGAAATGACAGAACAACAACATCAACAAATGTAACAGGCACTTTACAATAATTATCTCTTTGATCATCACTACAACCCTAGGAAATGACTATATTGTCCCCATTTTATAGCTGAGAAAACTGGAGCAAAGAGAGATTAAGTGACTTGTACCCAGCTAGTAAATGTCTGAGGCCATATTTGAACTCAGGTCTTCCTGACTCCAGAGGTTCCATTTACTGTGCAACCTAGCTGTCCAGAATCCTGTGGAAACTCTATGCACAGACAATCTAGGGCAGGGAGAAGGCAAAATGTGAAATAGTGCAAACTCAGAGCAGGAGATAGGGCCAGACCACTGCACTGGCAGGCAGTGAAGCATAGTACCCAGGCAGCACCCCTCAAGGAATGGCAGTGCTAGCCCTAGCAAGCCCATAGCCCAACCTATAGCAAAAGCACAGCTGGAGAAAGGTTTGTGGGAGTATGTGGGAAGCAAAGACCCAGAAGCCTAGCAGGAAGCCTGCTACCAGTAGAAACAATACTTTGTTGGGCCATGTCAAATGCATAATAACGGATGGGGCTAATGCCTGGACTGGGACAGTAAGGTAGGAGAAAAAGAAGGGACCAGGGCCAAAACCTGAATCAAACAACCATGGTACTGAGACAGAACCCAGGAATTCACACAAAGACAATGCCTAGTCTTAGCTACTGCATCTTGGACTCTAGAAGAGCCTGCCCATGCCACCAAAGCATGGAGGATGGAGTGGAGTCTGATCCAAGCACAAAGCCCAATTTAGAAACTGAGGCTTAGAGACAAGACTAAACAGAAAAAGTTGTTTAACATATTGAAGAAATACTATGAGCTTGAAAGAAATCTAAAATGTCAACCAAGAAAAAGAGAGTAACTTCACAAGTCCACGTACAGCTTTGGTGGAAGGATGTCCTGGCCACAATAACTACAAGAATTCCTCAAAGAAAATAAAGCAAAAGGTACAACAAAATATAACGTTAAATGAAATGATAATGAATGATGACTAAATAACAAGGAAAATTCATAGCTTAGATCAGATGGCAGTAAATCTTACCCAAGAATTTAACTCCCT